GATGCATTGAGTCGGAAATCATTGCATATGTCGGCGTTGATGGTGAAAGAGTTAGAATTGGTCGAGCAATTTCGAGATTTGAGTTTGGTATGTGAGAGAACTTCTTTTGGATTTAAGTTGGGTATGTTAAAGCTTACAAGTGGTATTTTGGATGAAATTCGAGAAGGACAGAAATCGGATTTGAGCTTAGCTGATCGGTTGACTTTAATCAACCAAGGCCAAGGTGGTGATTTTCGGATTGATGAGAATGGTATTATGAGATGTCGGGATCGAGTTTGTGTTCCGAACATGGTTGAGCTTAAGAAGAGCATCCTTGAGGAAGGACATCGTAGCGGATTGAGTATTCATCCGGGTGCTACTAAGATGTATCAGGATTTGAGGAAAGTATTTTGGTGGCCTAGTATGAAGAAGGATATCGCGGAATTTGTATATTCTTGTTTGACTTGCCAGAAGTCAAAGATTGAGCATCAGAAGCCATCAGGTTTGATGAAGCCGTTGTTTATTCCTGAGTGGAAATGGGATAGTATCTCCATGGATTTTGTATCAGGTTTTCCGAGGACGCCGAATAATTTTGAGGCTATTTGGGTTATCGTGGATAGGTTGACTAAATCTGCTCACTTTATTCCTATGCGTATGGATTACCCTTTGGAGAAGTTGGCTAAGTTGTATATTGAGAGGATTGTGTGTCTGCATGGTATTCCGTTAAGTATTGTTTCGGATAGAGATCCGCGGTTTACTTCGAGATTTTGGGAGAGCCTGCAGAGTGTTTTGGGTACTAAGTTGCGTTTGAGTTCAGCGTATCATCCTCAGACTGATGGTCAGACGGAGAGGACGATTCAGTCGCTTGAAGATCTTTTGAGAGCTTGTGTATTGGAAAAAGGAGGAGCTTGGGATAGCTACTTGCCTTTGATTGAGTTTACCTACAACAACAGTTTCCATTCGAGTATTGGTATGGCACCATTTGAGGCGTTTTATGGTAGGCGGTGTAGGACACCATTGTGTTGGTTCGAGTCCGGAGAGAGTTCTGTTGTTGGACCCGAGTTAGTTCAACAGACTACTGATAAGATCAAGATGATTCAAGAGAAGATGAGAATTACTCAGAGTCGTCAGAAGAGTTATTATGACAAGAGGAGGAAGGCACTTGAATTTCAAGAGGGAGATCATGTGTTTCTTCGAGTCACTCCGATGACAGGTGTTGGTAGGGCACTGAAGTCGCGCAAGTTGTCGCCGCGTTTCATTGGTCCTTATCAGATTTTGCAAAGGATAAGAGAAGTGGCATATCGTGTGGCTTTACCACCGTCGCTTGCTAATCTTCACGACGTATTCCATGTATCTCAGTTGAGGAAATACATTGCGGATCCGTCTCATGTAGTCCAAATAGATGATGTGCAGGTGAGAGATAACCTGACTCTTGAGACATCACCTATGCGGATTGAGGATCGGAAATTGAAACAGCTTCGAGGTAAAGAGATTGCTTTAGTGAAGGTCGCTTGGGGAGGACCGGCTGGTGGAAATGTTACGTGGGAGCTTGAGAGCCAGATGAAGGAGTCTTATCCAGAACTGTTTGAATCAGGTAACATTTTCGAGGACGAAAATTCCTAAAGTGGGGGAGGGTTGTAACAGCCCCAAATTTCATTAAATAATTAATTGTAATAATTAATTGATTTAGTGGGATTTTATTTAATGTTGGAATTAATTTTATTAATTGGAATTAATAGAGAACTGAGAAGGAAATTGGGAGGAAAGAAAATAAAAGGAATATATAAGTGAGGAAGAAAAGAAAAGAAAGTTAGAAACATTTGGAAAGAAAGAGGAAAGAAAGAAGAAAGAAGAAAGAAGAGAAAGAGAGGAGAAGAAGAGGAAAGTGGAAATCATCAAGAACCAACATCAAAGCTCCGATTAATCGAGGTAAGGGTGAGAAATGTTTCTATTTGATCATTGCATGATGTTATGTATGTTGGGTTGGGGTTTTGGTAGAGTTTTCATCACTTTCCATTTAGGGAAAATGTTGGATAAATCGGTAGATTGATGATTTAATCGGTTGAAACTGGGCAATAATGCCGTAGAATAGTCGGGTAGCATGTATTGATGCTATTTGTACTGATTTGGATGTTTGAGGTTTGGTTGATGATGGATTGATGAAGGAGAGGCAGAATAGGGTTCTGTTCTGCGCAGGTTCGCTGGCTCTCGCCAGGCGAGCGAAGGCGAAGCTTCGCCAGGCGAAGCCTAGCGAATGCTGGCGAATAATTAAGTTTAAGTTCCAGTGGACTTCGCTGGCGAGTTTGCCAGGCGAAGTTGGATAGCGAAGGTTCGCCCAGCGAAGGTGCTGGCGAATGGTGGCGAATGAAGTCAGTAGCTACTGACTTGGGCTCGCTGGGAAGTCTCGCCAGGCGAAGCCTAGCGAGTGCTCGCTGAGAGAGTTTGCCAGGCGAAGGCCAGGCAAAGGTTCGCTGCGAGGGTTCGCCAGGCGAATGAAGGCGAATATGACAGCATTTTTCTTTTGCTGTGTTGCTCATGTGGTGATTGTTTGATTGATTCACATAGGTTAATACCTCTATGATATGATATAGATATGATCTATTGTGATGATGTGTACTGTGGGTAGCCTCCGGGCGTGAATCCTAGTTGATGTGCGATGCTTATTAATTATGATAAATAGAAATACATGTGAATACAATGATGAATGTATGTGTATTGTCTAATGAACTTGCGAATGCTTAATGGGTATACAATTGTGTGATGAGTATGCATGAGAACATTGTGGATATGTGTGCATGACTTATAATTGTATAAATGGTATTGTGATGTGAATACCTTGATTGTGTGATATATGTTGTATGTGCAATCATTGTGTAATTCTTGAAGAGATGAATTATGTAAATGCATGAGATTAAGATGTCGGTCTTAAGTGCATTTGTTGTGGTTGATTGTACATGCATCATTTAGTCAAGAGGCAATGTCTGTTAGTTTCGTGGAAACTAGTGGCTTGTCCCAAACCTAGAAGAGTGGGTTTGAAGGCTTAGAGGACGGGCCTTTGTGGTTATCGGTTTAGAAGAGTGGACCCGGTTTAATGTAAAAACCGAAAAAAGATAACGGGTTATCGGTCTAGAAGAGTGGACCCGGTTTAATGTAAAAACCGAAAAAAGATAACGAGAGTCGGTACCGCATTGCATGAGTTGCATTGAGTTGTTGAGTCACATTAATATATGATATATGCATGAAGAGATGCTTATGTGTGAATGATGAGATTGTGAAATTGTGAGAGTATGCATGATGTGGAAATGCTTTACAAATATTCGTGTTGTCATTATATGTGTGGCAAATATATATGACTAAGAAATTGAATTGTGGTGAGAAATGCGGAGTGGAACTTGTATTGATTACCTATATATATATATATATATATATATATATATATATATATATATATATATATATATATATATATATATATATATATATATATATATATATATATATATATATATATATAATCTTATGCTTTGATTATTATGGTTATATTTCTCACCCTTCTGCTGTTTTATAATGCTCTACGAGGCATTGCAGATTAGGATGCTGGAGTCCCTTTTGTGAAGTATTCTTCATTCTTTTGAGTCTGCTGCTCTGATATGTAACACCGGGTAGTTAGACTAGTATAGTCATTCTTTTGTGATACATTGCGATGTATCAGTTGATGTGATTGTGTAATCTAACTGATATGATGTATTAACTTGGATTAACTTGTGTGTACGTGGATTAATATTTTGAAAACGATTAAATGATTTGATCTTCCGCTTAATTTTGAAAATGTTACATATCTTATGGAGAAAAATGTGAAAGTGTTTTATTGGTGAAATTGTTTTATACCTTATTATAAAACCTTTTTACTCTGATAATTTGTATGTGCTTAATTGTTTTATATGCATTTATTTGGGGTATAGAAGGGGGTGTTACAATGTACACCAATGAAGATAAGGCATCTACGTAAGGGGCTTATCTTTTCATGAAGTCTTAATGCTTTTGGTGTGGTGGTTGTGGTCTTCAGTGATCAGAGAGGAGGTACCTACAAAGTTACCGCTCAAGCCATTATTTATGAGAAGTGCAACTATTGCAAGTATGGGGGCCAAAGACAATCAAAGACCTTCAAATGTAAAGGGCTATGTACACCAATGAAGATAAGGCATCTACGTAAGGGGCTTATCTTTTCATGAATTCTTCCTAAACCCTGATCTTACCTCTTCTAATAGAGTCCAAGGAAAGAAGAATGACGCCCTTATGCATATGATAAACGATCTTCGCCATTAGCTCACAACAGACACCCTCAGTCAATTTGAATAGATAGGCATATCCGTTCTTTGGGATGACATTTGAAGGTCTTTGATTGTCTTTGGCCCCATACTTGCAACAATTACACTTCTCATAAATAATGGCTTGAGCGGTAACTTTGTAGGTACCTCCTCTCTGATCACTGAAGACCACAACCACCACACCAAAAGCATTCCCATGCTGGTCATCTTCAAACTCTCCTTTATTTTATATTTCAATACATAATAAAATCAATTTTATTCAAATACAATCAAATAAATTAAAATCAATTTTTCATAGATAACAATTATAAATCTCTAAAAATGAAATCAAACATAGACATAATATAGATTTAGATGAAAAGGGTATACTCTTTGAAATAAGATTAACTACACAACAAAACTTATGAATTCATTATTACCTTTGAAGTTTTGTTTTTGAATGGTTTATGAGCCAACTGTTGCTTTCATCATAAACAAACAATTGAATCATATTCCAAAAAAAACAAATTTTCTATTTATTAATATTATTTATAACACTTCCAAAACAAAAAGATAAGATCAAATACAAATACAAAATCCTACACGCTAAGTTGTCCTTCACCTATATATTCAGACATTAAACCAAAAGCAACACTTACTAAAATGCATATTCTTCTAAAACTCCTTTTTCGGTTAAGCATTCTCTACATCAATATGGCATCTTCTTCTTCTTCTTCTGTCTCATCAGATACCAAACAACAAGGCATTGTGTTATAAAATTTATCTTCTTTTCAATTGTGTTTTCTTTGTTAATTCTATTTCATAGATTGATGTTTTTTAAATTTTAATTTACTTGTAGGAATTGTTGGCCATATTGAGGATAAGAAACATAATCCAGTTGATGAAAATGTTCTTCAGAAACATGCTGCTTTCTTTGATGTTAATAAAGATGGTGTTATTTATCCATGGGAAACTTTCCAAGGTATTCATCATCATCACTAATTTATGGTTAAAAAAATATATTATATACATAATTCATAGGTTGATGAACACTAAAAACAATGGAATATTAGTTAATTTTTATAGTGCTATTAGCAATTTTTGGTTAATAATAATGAATTAATAACAGCTATGCGTGAAATCGGGAGTGGGGTGTTATTATCAACTGCAGCTGCTGCTTTCATTAATGTGGCCCTCAGTCAGACTACTCGTCCTGTAAGTATATCAATTTCTCATTTTTCTTTGCTTTATTTAGCACTATTGAGTAAACTAGTTTGGAGCTTTTCTCGAACAAGGTGACAATCAATTTCTACGTGTTTGGTACGTTCATGGAACGTAGAATTTGTATCTATGTGAATAACACTTAAGTTGTCACAATAGAGAACTCGTAATTTGGTTGATGGAATCTTGATGTCTTCAAGTAGATACACAAGCCATTGTAATTCATAAGTTGCAACAGCTAAGGCATGATATTCGTCTTCTAGTGAAGCCTGAACACATTCAACTATTTCTTCGTGCGCCATAAAATCATAGATTTTTCTAAGCAGAATCATTGGCCCGGGATTGATCTTCTGGTTTATATTTATTGAATAATTAATGTATTTAATATTTAATTAACATTGTTGTGGTCGTCATCGTGCAGGGAAAATTTCCATCTCTACTTTTTCCGATTGAAGTTAAGAATATCCAACTAGGCAAACATGGCAGTGACAGTGGAGCTTATGATAGTGAAGGAAGGTTTGTTGAATCAAAGTTTGAAGAAATTTTCATGAAACATGCACATACACATCCAAATGCTTTAACACATGATGAGGTGGATGAGTTGATAAAAGCAAACAGAGAGCCTAATGATTTCGCAGGAAGGTTGGTTTGTTGTATATTATGATGCATATGGAATTACATTTTTCAGTGTAAACATAATAACCACTAATGTATGGTGATATATGCAGGATTGGTAGCTTTGTTGAATGGAAAATTCTGTACAAACTTGCGAAAGACAAGAATGGTTTACTTCAGAAAGAAACAATCCGTGGTGTTTATGATGGAAGCTTGTTTGATGTGCTAAAAAATGAACATACAAAAAGAATTAGTTCATCCTAATCATAATTTATCTGTATAGGTGAAAAAAGCACAAGTTATGATATAGACAAATATACCAAAGTTTGGTTCGTGAATGGCATATAAGCTTTGCTCCATATTAATGGCATATTTCCAATTAGGGTAATTGATAGCAGCAAATTAAGAGGTTGGTTCGTGAATGGATAATAACCTTAAATTAAAAATTTTATGACTACGGGATAAATGATTATAAGAAATGTATTCATATATGGGATAAGGACTTTTACATGTTGTAAGAAAGGGAATAGATTGGGGAATACCTTTAATGAGTGCAAAAGGATAATCTTGTAGATAAATAGAACGCTTGGATTTTTTAATGAGAGAGGATTGTTTCTAGTTAGAAGAATGAGGGAGTGAGCAGAATAATCATGGTTTGGTAAAGTGGATGGATATGTAGTGGTTATGTTGTTGGGAATATCATTTTGATTGAAGCAGGAATGAAGGGATTGATGTTGAAATTTTGATTATCTCCATAATCTAAATTACTATCAATGTTGGAATGGTAAATGGGGTAGGTGTGTTCGGCTTAGGGTTAGGGATGTAAATAGATATTTATGGGGACGAATATTATGATATCCGTATTCGTCTCGTTTGATAAATATGATATTCATATATGTTTCATATTCATGCGGATATCCGTTAAGCGGGTAATTCGCAGATTTTATGATATCCGCGGATATTTGCAGAGATCATTGGATAATATTTTTTTAAAATTTTTTTTTTAACTTCTTTTAAAGATACAAAAAGTTATTACCACGTAACATTCATACAATTCACTCTTAATTTAACAATAAAATTTTATCACATTGATTTTTTTCTTATTTACTAAAGCATAATTATATCCAAACATAATATCCATACATTTTATTTTTAACCAAATAAATAAAAAATATTGTAATTGTGAGTTATGATGAAAGAGGAGACGACAGAGAAGTAGGAAGGGAGACACTTGTTCGACAGAGGAATGAGGACATGTTGTTTGGAATGTGAAATTGTTGAAGTGAGGTATAGAGTATTGAATAGTTTAAATATGAAATGACTAATAGAATTTGAATGAAATTTACGTTTTTTTCAAATAAAATTTCAAAAAAAGAAAGAAATATAAGAAGGCTATTTGTTTTAGAAGATGAACAGATAATGTATAATAAAATAATGATATTTAAATGATTTTATAATTTATTAACGGATATGGATATCCGCGGATATCATTAAACCCGTATCCATATCCATTAACAAATGGATATTTAAATACCCATTTATTTTATCCGTGGATATCATTAAACCCGTATCCATATCCATTAACAAATGGGTATTTAAATACCCATTTATTTTATCCGTGGATATCTATTAAGTTATCCGACCCATATCCGTGACAGATTTTATCCGCAGATATCCACGGGTACAAAATTTTTTTTGCCATCCCTACTTAAGGTTGTTATGTTGAGGAGAGGGAAAGATAGTTTTAAAAAATTTGGTTTCTTTAGATACAAAAAGTTTCATGTTTTGAAGATCATAGAGGATGTGACCCTTGACCCCATTTTGGTTTGCTAGATAAATGCATTTTTAGGATCTAGGGTCGAGTTTGTTACGATTTATATTAGAACTAGATGCAAAAACTAAGCATCTAAAAATTCAAACAGTGTAATAATCAGGAGTAGTATTATAAAAAAATTATAAGGAATTTTAAAATTTTAAAATTTGAATGAAATAATGTTGATTAAAAAATTAGCATGTAAGAGAGCATGGACCCAAATAATCAACTACCTACCAATTACTATTCATTGTCAGCATTCTTCCATTAATACCCTTCACACCTAAAACAACTATGTCTAACTAAAGGTTATTCATGTAATTAACATATTCTACTCATTTACATGGCTGAGAACTTGTTTACATCCAGTTGTCATTCACCAATTGGACTAATTTAATCTCAATAGGTTAAAAAGATTTTCCCACTCTTTTCAATTCATTACCTCACTTCATGATAACAACACCTAGGAACTGATCAAGAAACCTGTTGGAGCCAGGTTAGTCAATTGTAAATGAATTTTCAAAGTTAAGGAAGGAATTGAAGGAGTAGCACCAAAGAGATACAAGGCAAGATTGGTTTCTAGGGGGTTTACTCAGAAAGAAGGTATCGACTTCAATGATGTGCTCTCTCCTGTTGTGAAGCACAAATCCATTTGAATGTTGCTTGCCACAGTGGCACAGTTCGACCTTGAACTGGAACAGATGGATGTGAAGATTGCGTTCTTGTATGGTGACTTAGATGAAACAAACCTGATGAGACAACTTGAAGGGTATGTCGAAAAAGGGAAGGAAGATTATGTGTGAAAGCTGAATAGATCCTTATATGGACTGAAACAATCTCCTCGATAGTGGAATAGGAGATTCGACAAGTTCATGGCACGCATAAGTTTCATCAGAAGTCAGTTCGACCACTGTGTTTACTTCAGATTTCGATCGAGTAATTCATTTTTTATTTTGTTTCTCTATGTGGATGATATTCTAATAGCAAGCAACAATGTCGAAGAGGCAATGAGGGTGAAGGCTAAACTCAATAAGGAGTTCGACATGAAGGATCTGGGAGCTGCATCCAGGATTCTTGGGATTAACATCCGAAGAGATAAAAAGCAGTCAAAATTATGCTTATCTCAAGAGGCATACCTACGGAAGGTTCTCGAAAAGTTTGGTATGTCGAATTCAAAGCCTGTTGTGACTCCGACAAACCTTCAACTCAAGCTGAGTATAGAACAGTGTCCCAGTACTGACGTTGAAAGAACTTATATGAATATAATTCCATATGCTAATATAATGGGTTCTTTAATGTATTTTATGGTATGTACTAGACCCGACATAACATATGCAGTAAGTCTTATAAGCAGGTATATGGCGAATCCTGGAAAGACTCACTGACAAGCATTGAAGTGGATTCTAAGGTACATAAATGGGTCTCTGAATAGAGTCCTAATTTATGGTGGAGCCTTGGGTGAAGATAATAAAGCAAAAATTGAAAGATATATCGACTCTGATTATGGAAGTTGTATGGATTCCAGAAAATCTATTTTTGGATATGTGTTCACTATGTTTGGGACAATAATCAGTTGGAAAGCAACACTTTAGAAGTTCGTTGCCTTACCAATCACTGAAGCTGAATATATTTCCCTAACTGAAGTTGTGAAGGAAGCATTGTGGCTTGAAGGTTTTGTAAAGGAGCTAAAACTTCAAGGTCGAGTTATTACTGAATGTGATAATCAAAGTGCGATACACCTGTCGAAGAATTCAGCCTATCATGAGCGAACCAAGCACGTTGATGTGAGGCTGCATTTCCTTATAGGGGTAATCGAGCGTGGAGAAGTTCAAGTGCTGAAGGTTTTGATAGATCATAATATTGTTGATATAATCACCAAGATGTTGCCCAGTTGCAAGTTTTTCCACTGTATGCAGTTGATAAAGCTGCATGAAAAAAGCTAGTTTCTTGATATTATAGAGTTAGATCCAAGGTGGAGATTTGTGAGATGTTGGATCGAACTCTAGTCTGGTCGAAGGGTAGCTTCTAGTTCAACAGGAATTAAGCCTGAGGTCGAAGTATGTTCGCATGCTGCTGTTGGAGTAATGTGTGTTGTAGTCGAAGTTTGTTCTAACATTCATTAGTCAATATTGCTAGGTTTGTTAGCATGTTGAATTAGGCCTTACTTGTAAGCCCAATTGTTTAAGTTAGCTTGTAATGGGTAATTGTTAAAAATCCCATTAGGTTAGTGTGATATTTTCCTTATAATAGGATGTTAGTTTCTCAATCTTGATATAAGGAAAAATAGGAAGATAAAATCCTAATTTCAAGAGAGAGAGAGAGAGAGAGAGAGAGGTTATATTGTTATTCTTGTATACTTGTAATATTGTTTTAAGAGAAAGGAAAGAATAGCAGTTTATAACCAATCCTTGTTGTTCCTTGTTATTTTACCTTGTCTTCTTTGTTAACCCTAACCCTTGTGTGTTTCTTGATCATTAAGAAACCATTTATACTTTATTATAAGGTATCTGATTCACAACAATGACATTATAGTTTGAAATTCAAGTCATGTTATGTACTTCAAACACAACATAAAAGGCCATGCATTTAAAGACATAATATCTTTGTAATTGAAATGGACATCCATATTCCTTTGTTCTAGTGCCATCATATTTTAATTTTATATTTTTTATAATTACCACATTTTTCACTATCCAACACAACAAATTGTTTTCTTCTATTAAAACCTGAATTAGACCTCTCGATAATTATGGCAAAACTTAACTTAGCAGTTTCACCACGAACCCATTTCAGCATATCATCTTGTAGGGTAAATATATGTTAAGTCATAAATATTTACAAACATTTGTTTCATCAACATCTAATTTACAACATAGCTCGACAATATTCAGTATGACAACATTGGATACTTAAGCACCTAGTTCAACAGTATTAGGTTACTTAACCATTGGGTCGACAACATATTGTGACACAATATTTGTCATCGAAATAATAGTACAGAGATTGTACCTTTTTTAAACCAACAAATTTTTTCCTTCTTAAGCTAAACGATGAATAAAGCTTATGTCTTTTTGATGCAAACGACAAGGAAACCAAGGGTGATCAGCTGAAGAGAGATAAACGACGAAGTGGCATTCATTGACGAAATTGTTGGATTTAAGCTCCCTTTCTTATATGGAGAAAGATCCAAATATGATTAGCCCATTTGTCTCACTTATTTAAGTGGGGAGGATGAATTTAGGGTTCAGAGATATAGAGAGAAAATATAGATTCAAAATAGAGAAAAGAGGAGAGAAACTCATTCTCGTTTTTCTGCAACCAGTCTTACTAAATCAACGATCTCTGATTCGTTAACTGTCAGATCATGCTCAAATTTGGAGGGCATGTTCGCAACACATGTATAAAACTTTTGACCATTCAAAATTTTAAAACAATGTCTGAGGTGAGAGTT